AACGATTCAATTGATTCGATTGATTATACGATTCAGTTATTTTTAAGATGATAAATAAGGCATATCGTTTATGGTTCAAGTATTTTAAATCCGATAAAATCTGCTCGCACTAAACATCTTTCACGTGCATTTGACAAATCATTCCTTCCGCGTCTTGGCTTTCTATCGTTTTCCATATAAGCCGTGCTCATAATTTCCTTCGTCTCATTAACCGATGCGATTCATCCAATTAACCGCGCGATTTCTCAATACTTTCGAAAATGTGCTCTTTAAAAATTAGTCGCATCGCGCGTGCCACGCGAATTTACGTAAATCGCAATTCATGTATGCACGGTAACTCGACACCGTAAGTCCGCGCTCGCTCTCTCTTTTAGCTCTCTTAGCCTCTGCACCTCCCAACCGTTATATTTTTTCGCCCCGAGAACGATATCGCGGCTTAAGACTTATTTTCCCTATTCGGTGCGCGAGAGACGCCTCGGGAGCGCAGAGTGAAAGACGTCCGACTCGGAGAAGTAACGATGTCATGCCGATTAATTTGATCGCGCACACAGCGTGTTTACCACGGGCGGTCGGCGGGGCGCGTGCGCGTTTTTCAACCGGGTTCATGTAACAAGTTCGTGAATCTCTCTCTCTCTCTCTCTCTTGCTCCAGCTTCCTCGCGGCAGCCAGATCGCAATCAGTCTTGCCGGGACTTTCATCAGATCGGGCCGCTGCGAAATGTATGTTTCGATGTACTACCCGCTCCGCTACTTCCGCGCGTGTTACTCGACTCGCGAGCGCTTTTGTTGCGTGTATGTGTGTATAAAAGGGGGGATCAAGTAGGTACAGACGCGTCGATGCGTACACCGTGTAGCGCGGCTAGCGATTAATGAGCCCTCGTCAGTCGCGTGCACGTGTGTCTGTCACTTGGACAGCATCCGGTACGGCAGCCACCGCGTCTCTCGTGTCTACCTTTCTCTCTCTTCCTTAATCGTCCATTATGAATTTTTTCTTCCGATCAAGGATATCGGGGAACGTGTGTTCAACCACGTGCTGCTCTCGCATGTGAGCTAATTCATTTATGGGCGATTATAATATGGCTTGTAATAAACTTGAGTTACTCTTGTCAAATCGAATGGAAAGAAATTGTTTCCAAGTCACGTATATTTGCGATTTTAGAAATCAAGAAACATGCAAGTGTATATGAATCTGTTTTAACCCATTCAGACCTGAATTTTTTCTCGTAATGTTTGTAAATTATTGAATTAATTTTTATTGATGCTAAGGGTTTTTTTTATGATTTATTACTGTTAGGAATTAGTTTCCCAGTCCATCGAGAGATCGCAGGGAAACTAATTCTAAAAAATAAATATTTCACATGATTTTAAAGTTTTGTGCATAATTGTGTGCATAGGGTCTGAATGGGTTAATTCACATAATTAATAAAAATATATTTTTTTTCATTTTTCGAATCGATTTCCAAAATACATAACTTGATCCTTGAATACATGTTTTATTTTAGTATATAAATAATAGATAGTCTCTTATTTCTTCAAATGTATTCATGCTTCTTTTAAATAAAAGTAGAAAGTATGATTTATGTCTTCTTTTGCATCCGACGTTTGTCAATGAAAAAGAGAGCGATTCTAATTTGGTGAAATGTCCTTTGAGACGCAGCTTTCAAACTAGTCTTAATATATACTAGTAGTACGTACCAACGCGCGATCGTCCTAGTCGCACATAACGGAGCACGCAATCGCGTCGCGAAAAATCGTTGATAAAATTGAAATTATTACGCGACGCGCACGATAAAGTTTGCAAAAAACGAGTGATATCGAGATCGATGAAATTTAACGTATCCGCGTTCGCACTTAACGGCCTGATGCGAATTCCTCGGCGATAAGCTCTGATTTACGCTCTCGTCGGAATCTCCCGTTTTATGCCGATCGCTGAAAACACACACGGGTTTTCCGCGTGCGGAGCGTAAGCCTAACCGTACGAATTAAATCGAGGGGAGAGGTATGTCCGTAAATCACGCAGTGAAAGTCGCTTAGTTTCGGCGCTAGATATATTTCCCGCGCGACATTTTATACCGCTAATGAGACACATGGTTGACAGGCAAGATGGTCGCCGGCTCCTTATCGCACGCATCATAAACGTCCGTTCTGTCGTCATGGTCAGACTGGCTTTGTATTCTCTCTCGTTGTCGCCTCCGCACTTATTGGTCTTACAATTAGATCGCTGACAATGCGGTACCGGACGTTCGATGAAATTTCGCGATATCGCGCTTTCCCCTCGTACTGTGTTTGCCTTCGAATATCGTCGCTATTTTATCTAGTTTTATGACATATTTATTTTGCGTTTCATTACGTGATTTGATACTTTATTTCGGAGTGATTTCCGTTGAAAATGCGCAATGGTCTTATGTATTCACGGTATTACTGATATTATCAACGGCAGCTGACAATTTGTGCCAAAAAGAAAACATACCATATAATCTGTTGCGTGACATTTTAATGTAACTGAAAGTTTATTTCACGCGATCTGTCGGAGCACAACTCGATTTATTCTTGTATTTGTTACGTCTTTGGAGAACTTTTGTCCCTTTGAAGAACTTTTGTAAGTATAATAAAATTCGCATGCATATCCTTTTTATAATTGAGGATATCTAACTGGGGCAACTCGTGTTCTTGTACATCGCAGTTCAATGAACATGCAACGAGTCACGATACGTGGCACGCGACATGAGTCGCATGCAAGTCCGCTTTAATGAAATAGAAAAATCAATGCCAGGTGTAAAAGTTCCTACGTCTAAATTCAATGCTTTCTGCCCGCTCTAGATTATGTTGCTATTGACCTTTTGCTACTATTTAAATCTTGCTGTATGCAATATTGTGTGTAAAGCTCCTACTGTACATATATTTTTCACAGATATACGTTCTTGCAGAATGTATACACAGAAAAGTTTTCTATTGTGCTTTCGTTCTTTGCTCGAAATAAAAAATCCTAGATAAAAGTATATAGATTATAATTTATCGCAAAGAAATTCCTTCATATAAAGTTTTTTTATTGTTAATTTTTTGTTGCTATTGTTTTAATTAAAATGCTATTTTATATTTAATTAAAATGCTATTTTATCAGTTTATTTTCTGAAAAACCAGATATCATCGAAACATTTTTAAATTTTATTGACGAGACTTGATTAGTAAATATGAATGGAATACATTGTCCGTTACGATTTCGTAACAGGAACTGTAGATATCATCTACAGATTGTAGATTGTGTATACATAAATGTATGCTAGGCTTACACTACAATACGAGCAATTTCAGAATTATAATTTAAAGATATTTCTGAAAAATAGGGTACATTGTTTATATAATCAAAAATATTTTTTTTCGAATAAAATAAAATGACAATTTATACGATATTATATTTTAAAATTAGAAATATTTTTTATAAACTAATAAATGTTTAAAGTAAAATATTAATGTTGTATATGTTATATACAACAAAAATTTAAATATATATATATATATATATATATATATATATATATATATATGAAAAAATAAAATATTATAAAACAATGAAATAAAGAATATCTTTAAATCTCTTAAATTACGCAATCAATATTATTATTATTTTGTTGCGAGTTAATTAATATTATGTCGATGAATCGATGATTGTCAAATCTTTTAATCGACTAACTTTATTTGGTACAGTTTCATTTTGCTACGGAATGCAATCACGCATCCTCCGCCTCTCGATAATGAAAATCGCGGACGACCGAACGAGTCCGTTTGCTACGCGCTTTTAATTACGAACACAAAGTATACTGTATTCATTCGTTAAGCGCCCTTTATTTGCGCTATCCTACCATCTAATTACTTACACGACCACATAGTCACGAGCCGACACATGTAGGCGTTATTGCAAGGTGCAAGTCTCGAGAGAGTTTCGCACCTTCGACGATCTTCTCTCCTTCGAAGATGAGAAGATATGAGCAGTGAAGCTGGATATTAAATTAAACGTTACAGTACATCGAGGTGGCCTAGGAATAAATCGCGATAACACTTCCGATATTGCCGACAGTTATATATTTGCGAACATGTTACGTTACTATAGAAATGATCGCTCATTAGTTTATTTTTTCATTTGCGTTTATTTCATTGTTGCATAAATTTTCTTTTTCATTTTTTTATTTGCACAGTAAATGTAATTGTATTTTTTATTTATACGTATTTTATTATAATCAAATTGATTAGCATCTTTATTAAAAATAAAAAATTTGATATATTATTTATAACTTATTTTTATAAGTTATAAATAATATATTTTATAAGTTTATTTTTTAGAATAATTATATAAAAAAAATTCAATGTTTTTTAAAATTTCAAATCATATTCAAGCATTATTACATAATTTAATTGTCTATCTAATCGTCGGGTTTATTGCGGTCCATGTTGTAACATCTTGATGTATAAAAGTATGTATTTCACGATGCAATCTCCGACATTCCGCGCGAAATATTCTGCACCTTCTTTCGCATGTGAAACGCTTTGACTTCGTTTAAATTTTATTCGCGTTCTTACTCATCAGGGCGCGTTCTTTAGTAGAGAAAGGCAGAACGGACGGTCACTGGCTGACTGCACGTTCTCTTAATTTTGGGTGTATCCGCACAGCGTGAATTATTCTGCAATTAGCATGATTAACGTGCGTTGTGTTGTAATTCTTCTCACTTTCGTGTGCAATTTATTTACGAAAATTTTAATTAGCTTAATTCGCACTGTATCTGCTATCATGTGTATCTTTTTTATTTTCAATTGTATTTTTCTTTTTATGCTTTTTCTTTGTAAGAAAAGAAGTTTCTTACAGAATATTCGATAAAAATTACATTTGCAGGAAGAGATTCTACTCTATGCACTTCTATGTACGATGAAAATTACGATATTTAGCGCGAAAGCATCTAAGGCTGACTAAGAAACGAGATGCAACGTGATCCATTTATCTGATTGCAGGGGAACGAGGCGGTGGTGCCGGAAGGTTGGCCCCTAACATTAGGCGGCAGCGGTCTGATCCTGCATCTGGGTGAGCTCGAAGCGTCCGCGCTACGTCTCGGGGAATGTTACCTCTGCGTACGCAGCGTGGCTGCTGCAACTGCAACTGCAACCACCTCGTCGGTCAACGGCGTTAAGACTGCCGGTAAAACCGCCGAGCAAAATACCGTTGAGGTGAGTCACGTCCTTTTTCCTTCTTTTTCTCTCCCTCTTCTCTCTTCTCTATTCCTGGTCGTCGCGAAAGGATCGTGCGAGTGATGTCCTCCGAGTAGTGTCGTCGCGAGAGAATGACAACTTTGTCTTAATGACCGAGTCGAAGACTGAAATTCCTGGCGTTCTTTCCAGTGATCGATCCTCAGCATAAATACCAGTCATGCATACGCGGATTACAGGCACATAATGGGACGCGCGTTATTAGATGTCCGTTTAGGCCTCCTCCTCAGGCAATAAAAGACATGTCTCTTTAAGAACGCCGAGGCGACATTGTCACGCTTATAACATTTTCCCGTTCTTAGAATTGTGCCGAACAAGCCGGTTTACCGCGACGATAAATTATAGCTGATTTTTTTCATTTATTCAGAATCCTATTAGTTAGTGAAAAATCATTTAATAGTTTAAACTGTGGGAAACTACTGCTATTTTAACATTCTTATTATAGGAAAAGAATGAACTTTAAATTAAAATTTTAACCAATTTATAGTATCAAGAATTTTTTGACGTAAATTGTGCTAATTATCTGCTAACGAGCAAAATAGGTAAAATGCAAAGAGCTAAAAATAAAGTTATATACTGCTGTTCGCAGATAGCAGTAGTCTGGCGAACCACGTCGATGAGGGCTCCGGGGATCTTAGGTTGGGATCGTGAGGACGAGTTCATGGACTGGCGGGAATTGACCAACAAGGGTCAGCCGAGCTCGTCAGCAGGTACGACGAGCGCGAATCTCGGCGGGGCGCAATCCTCTGGCGTGATGAAGGCCACCAGTCGTCCGCGCCGAAGATCGCGCGAGGATGCTCGTCCAAGGACACGCGAGACCAGCAGCGCTGAACATCGTCGAGAGGAGGCCAGATCCATCGACAGGCTCGAGCACCAATCTTGTCGTGAGAATCGCACGATCGGCAAATCCGGTCACACCAACACGGTGATGAAGTCCAAGTCCGCATCCAGCGTCGACGCTTGGAAGGAGGATCTCGACGGCGAACTCGATCGAGGTTCGAGTCGCAGGGCGCATTCCAAGAACTCCTCTAGTCCCACTGGCGACGAGAGTCGCGTCAAAGTGAAGCGGTGCGCCAACGTCGTCTCCTCTACAGTGATGGAAAAGTGGAAGGAGAGCAGCAGGTGCGAGACGCGCAGCAGATCGATCGCGCCGAAAGATCTGAAGAGCCCGTTGCAATTTGAAGAAAGCATTTTGTGGCAAAACAACGGCGCTAACGATTCGCCGAAGGATCTCGAGGACAGATTACGGAACGTAGGTGGTCCAGGTGACGTCAGTGACGAAGATCTGCCGGCGTACATAGGCAGTCTGCTTGTCACCGTCGAGAGAAAAATCGAGAGAGTCTCCCTCGACGATATGACGTTCCCTTGTCCAGCGTGTAGGAATATAGACACGGATGATCCGCTCTTAGGATGCAGATGCGCTGGCGATGACGAGGATAACTGCGACTGTCCTTCCTCTCTACTCGTCTCACGGAAAGAACAATCTGCTAAGAGCTTCGAAGTGGCAGGAATCAAGCATATCGATAGTGACGACGAAGAGGAAGTTCGGATGGGATTTGGTAAGTAATCATCAGTGTTTTGAATCTTTTGAATTCTATTTTACACGGACCTTATGTGAAATAACAATGAGAATTTTTTACGCCTCGAATTCTCAATTTTAATTGTTTTTAAATGATTTAAATAACAATTTAATTCTATTTTTTTAATAATGAAATATTCTTCTCTCACACAAATAATATCTTTATTTAAAAAAGTAGATTCTTTTTATTCGTATGATTTATTAACGAATAGTCGAGAGTTCGCAGATGCAAAGTTTCATTTCCGGAACCGCGGTTTATCCGGCGTATGCGGTTTGTGAAAACCCGGGAATGATTTTTGCCAAGCCAAGCTCAGCTGCTCGCATTCGATGAACCCTCTTATGCACCGAGACGCACGTGTGTGCATGCGTGTATGATTTAGCGGCAACTAAACTCGCGCAGCACGTCGAACTTGAAATTCTGGTCGAAGTACGGCGTAGGCGGCGTACCTTGTAAAGTGGCTACTTCATGTCATGCCGTCTATCGAAAAATCCGAATGCTACTTGTGCACCGAATCGGCGTGCTTGCACTTCGTTTGTAGCGGTGTGAAAAAGTTCCGCAGCGAGAGACTCCAATGCGTGTGAATAGAATCGTTGTGTACTAGTGATGTTATATTCCGATATGCATGTGCTCGCGTGACATGCAAATACGCGCCTTTACAGCCCGAAGCTGCGACGAAATTTATGATGGAAATATTTCCTGCTGAATAAAATACCGAAAAGCCGCAACGTGTGTTTAACAGAGCCTTCCATGTTAATTCGTAATTTATACCGCAATAATATAACATATATACGACTTCACACATGTGGATGTAGTTAATTAGGTTTTGAGAACACAAATGTGTTAATTTTTTATTTACAAAAAAAACGTCAACTATTATTTTCACTTATTATTTAACAAAATTGTTTTTTTAATTGATAGATAACAATGTTCATAAAAAGATGGATTTGGAAAAAAATATTATTACGATATTTCAATTCCGTCTTTTCACCCTAATTTTATTTAACTGCATTTTATTTTCTTTTGCATTTAACAGTTATCAATTAATCTTTAGAAAGGTACATGCTGTTTTACTCTGGAATTGCGTCAAACAATTGAAGCCGAATAATACAGCTTCTTATTTAAATCGGTCGAGAATCTCTCTGTCTCTCTTTCTGTCGGTGCAGTAAATTTTCAAGTCATGTGTCACAATCCGGGTTTAATCCGTCTCCCCGGGGCATCGTTAACGAGCGATGACTCTCGCGTCGGCGACGCAGGCGTAATTGTAACGGACGAGTATGCAAATTGTCGGCGCGCTCGCTTGTCACTCGATCTTTCGTCGTGGAACTCGCCAAACGAATCACTCGCGGGCCCGGACGGGCCGAGTCGGACCGGACTTTAAAGTCTCTCGCGGCTCTTGCCGATCTCCTTTCGCGTCCTCCCACGCTCGTCTCGGCGCGCCTCTTTGGTAACTGCCGCGCCGACAGGTTTGCAAAGTCAAGAGCCTTTATCCGAAACGTCGCCACGTCGGCGGCGTCGACGTTAAAAGTGAGCCTACAGTATTCGTCGTTCCGTTACGGGACATTTTACACAATGCCGCGTAATTTTTGTCACCTTACAAGCGGATTCTTTATTCTTAATGTTCTCAATTATAAATCTATCTCTTTCTCGTTTGTCACGTGCAAATACATGGTTTAGAGTCATAATTGTCAGTTTAAAATTAATTTATAGACATTTTGAACTGTGATTTTTTAAATATAATTTAAAACAACGTGATTTAATAAATAAATATCAAGAATAAAAAACAGTTTCATGCGAAAATATATACGAAATTATATGAACATGAAAATCACAATTTTTGCAATCACTTTATAATAAATTCAGATTTTTTTCTCGATAAATATTAGCTCGTTTATGAACAAATTTAATAAATATTTATCGCTTTGAAGTCAATTTTAATGTTTTTCACAAAATATATTACGATGGTTTAAATACAAAAAATTTGATCGAGATATGATTCTATAAAAAACACGTAACATTATGTTATAAAGAATATAATTCTTCCTATTAAAATGGAATTTCATTGAATGAATTGAACACTCGGAATCAAGATTTCTCCCTTTTCCTGCGGAATGGAAAACGAGAATATTATGTTACAATACCATGTCGATTATACTCGTCGTAGGAATGACTCGCGTAAAACGCGCGAGTAATCATCGTAACAATTATTTTTTAGTTCGCGGCTTCCTAAGTCCCTCCACACATGCGGCAAAGGCGAACCGCAAATACCGCGGACCGTTGCGTACTATTACGACCGAATCGCGCGTCCGTTACGGCTTGCAATTGGCAGCTCCGGTATATATGCTCGAACACGTTTCCTGACTTTTCTGCGGCTGGTGTGCTGGACGTGTGTCAGCGATGTTTATGTTCGCGGTGCAAGAGGCGAGCGACCTGCTCCGACAGTGAATGAACGGAGTAACGAACTCGTCAATGAGTATTCGTGCTAATGACATACGGCAACAAAGCGGCGATTTTTCTGCAGCGTTGAGAGCAAACCATCGGATAAAAAAAAGTTAGCGAGGAATCGAGATACATTTATGAACAACGTTGATATAATCAATTTTTCGCAATTTAATTGTCTAAATAAATTATCTAAATAGATTTTGCGTAAATGAATTAATATCGAGCGAATGAACACTGTGAAAATATTAAATTAAATTTTATAATGAAGATGCGGATTTCAATACAACACAAATTATTTCAATCGAAACAATTTAGCTTAGGATTTCTCGTCAAATAAATGGATTCTATAAATGCGAACAAGAAAATATTTTTAGACGAAAGAAAAAAATATAAGCAATAAATCAAAAGTATCAAAGAGAAAATACATATATTAAATATTAAATTACATATTAATATATGAAAATTTATTTATATCTCTTTGAAATTTATATCTCTTTTTAATTTATTACTTATATTTATAGAGAAAATATATTAAAATATACTTCCATTTTAGTTGAAGTTTTTTCTCGATTGTCAAAGTGAGAGATGAGAAAATATTCTTTCGCACGCGGATATGATACATGCTTCGAGCTTGTAAATAAGATAAATAATGAATGAATTAAGATAGTCGTGATAGTGACTAATAACGGTATAGCATCAATAATTCTATCTGTATTTCCCTATCTCTATTTTGGCATCCGATGATCAAGTACCGAGAACCGGTCGTTATTCTTATTCTCGCTCGGAACGTCCGTTTTGTTGTCATCGTTTCGTAACCTGCAAAGCCGACATGGTTACACTTATGGCACACCATTGCCACACGATCGGACATGACTTTGCGCCGGTTGTCGTGTTCATTAGCATGTGGACATCTCATTGACGGCAGCTCGGTCTCGTCAGGCGCGACCCACTCGTTTTCGCGCCCAGGTTTGTCGGCATGAACCGCAGAACATAATCTGCCCGTTGTGGGATATAAATGCCAATGCCCACACTCGAGGGTAAGAGAGGAGAATACCATCGGGAATGAGTTACAGCGCGTGACAGCGCGGAATGCATTCGATTTAGCTTCCTTCGACCTCGGCTCGAAGACCGTGGAAAAATAAAAGGAAAAATTTACTACCCCTTGAATGTTCTTTGAGAAAATTGATCGTCTTTATAAAATGACTTTTTTCCCATTGAATTCCATTTGCAGCAGATTTATTGGAAGTTTGCCATTTTTACAATACCAGAGATTGATGTTACGAGATTATATTGGGAAACTCTCACATTTTCACATCCTTCTTCCAAGTTCGACGACCTTATTCGATACGCCGTGACATGTGTTTTCTGCCTCGCAATTCGTATACAAGTCTCTGGAAACTGTTTTCATTCGCGAATATTTCTCTCTCGCGAGTTCAAGTTATGTTTACGGTTATTCATGATACGCATTTTCCCAGTCTAGACGGAAATATTCGCGACTCGCGGAAATTCTTTGAACGCGTTGCTCTGCGCGAGAGATTCACAAGAAACAATCTCGTATCGCGGCGGTTAATTCTCAGACAGTCGACAAGACACGAGCAGGAAGAATGCGGCGAGTTATCTAGCGTTGTCGCGACCGACCCAAGAAAATCATCGACTTTAACAACGGCAATAACCGCAAAGCATACTCTTCGTATCGGCAGAAAAAAGAAACGAAGAGTAGCGAGGCGAAAGGAAGTTGAGAAGAAATTCTCTTCCATTCCTAAAATGGAACTAGAAAATGTCCTTTCTCACTATCTTCTAATTCATCTCTATTTTTTTTCTTAGAGGGCACGAATATTACGTAATCATTATTACATCTAACTAATATCTCTAGAAAAATATTACGAAGATGCTATAAAATTCTCTATAAACTTTATTTATATATAATAAAAATAAAATAAAATGTCCAACCAATGTCTTTATTTTTCTTTGATATCTATTGAATGTTATTCAAATTATATAAAAATGTAAAAAAAGTTTAAAAAATTTAACGGTTATAAAATCATTAATAATAATACGAAATTAATAATAAATTAAAGATATTTTTTTTTTCGTTTATAGCAAAATTTACATGACTGGCCTACTTTTTATTGCTTATACATTATCTACATTTATAATTTAAAAATAAATAATTTAGCTAGGAAAACAGCTAATCGGTCAATTTTATTTAATGATTAAAATCATTTAAAATAGCTGGAATGAGTCTTATCAATTAGCTAAATGAGTTTAATTTAATCAAAACGTGCTTTTGCAATAACGGTAATTATAGTTGCTGAGCAACGTTGAGCTCCTCGTAGCAGGTTTAGAGTCAAAGGTTCTCGCGCGAAAGCGAGAAATAGCACGAAATATAAATAGGTGTTAACGATCAGCTGATATCGATGCGGCGTCATTTTTTCACAGGGGATTATTATACTCTGAAGAGAAACTACCGAAGATGCAACTTAGTTCGTCCATTTTATTGTTTCTCGCGCTCCATCGCGGAATTTTATTGCTCGGTGTCG